TGGAGCTGAGTCTCCTTTGCTGCATAGTTATATACGAAAGGGTTGGCTCCTGGTTTCACACCGACGTAAATCGGTCTTCCCTTGTGGCGCGTGTGCACCGTCACACCGCCTTTACCGACTCCTACGTCGGTTCTCTTACCGGGTTTACCCGTGTGGACTGCGACGCCACCTCCGTGACCTTTTCCGCTGCCAACGCTCACGTGTGTCCCTCCTCCGGGCTTACCCTTGCCCGTGTCCACGCGTACACCTCCCTTTCCAACGTTCACGGCGGTTTTGCCGCCGGTTTTACCTTTATGGGTGTTAACGTTTACGCCTCCTTTACCTACTTGGACGTTGGTACTTTTCTCGTCGGTAAAATCTGCAGAATAAAAAATGGTTTGGTAATGGTAAGGACACATTTATTTTATTAACAACCAAAAGAGAATACATTTGTTTGCTTTATATTAACGTATAGATTCAAAAATATGTTGAAAAATAAAGAAATTGTGATAATACAAGTCAAACACATCTTCATTTGCATTTATGTATATAATTCTTTCTTTTTTTTGTGTGTCTTAAAATGACAAAAAAAAAAACAGTTAAAAACTAGTCAAAACCAAAATATAAATTCAGAACAACATGTCAATATCCTAGAGGAATTAGGAAATAATATGTATATCTAATATTAAGAACAAACATAAAGTCGGCCGGTATAGTAAAAGATATTAACCAAGAGTCAAAAGATTATGGAGAGAGTTGGGAATGGGAGTGTTTGGTAAAGCAGTGCTCCAATAACGCTCAGGTGTTAAATCAGCCGCAATCGCTACGACCTGCAATAATAAAGTAAAAAAAAACATCAAACCACAAAGAATAAAAGTAAGAAGTTAATCAATTTTTGTTTGAGTAAATAATTAAGTACCATGAATGAACCAAGAAGACAGATCACAGGAAGACGAATAGCCATATTTGGGGGTTGGAATAGAAATGGGTTTGATGAATTTGAGGAGAAGAAGTGGCAAGTGTACGTAGAATTTATAGTAAAAGGGTTTTAGTAGAAAGCAGCTGAGGTTGAAGTTATGAGTATGGATGATGATATAGACGGCTACTACTTACCAATCTATTTGGGCCGATTAATTATATCACATACCCTCTAACCACTACTTGCCTTCTGCTCCTTAAATGCTCTTGTATCCATGTGTGGACATGTGTTTTTTATTTCACATATTTATTTTTGTTTGTGTTACGTTATATACTACGTCGTTTTCTGTCTTTCTTTCAGAGAGGTTCCTATTTGGGTCCTATTTGTTTTGCAGCCAAGCTATGGAAACCAACCAAACAAGTATTCACGAATGTTTTCTTTGGGTGATTAGTTTTCCCTACGTCAAAATCTTGATTAAGTTCGGAGTTAGCATTGACAGGCAGTGGCGGAGCCAGGATTGTTTTTAACTGGGGTCAAAATAAATATTAAAAAAAATCGTTTATACACTGTAAAAATAAAATCTACAATTGCATTCTACATTCATTCATACATTTTATAAACAAACGAATCATATCATAAAAGTATAAGAAAATTTTAAAAACAAAAAAAAAAGGGAGAATTACTCAAAAGGCTTAGTGAAGAGGGAAAAAAACTAAAATGACATGGTTTTGAAGCTACAGTAATATCTTTTTTTAAAGGCAATCTTGCCCTCATAAATGTGTTAGGCGAGAAAAAAATAACAGAAATGCCATTAGAAGTAATTACAATAATTTACAGAAATGCCATGAAAAATGCGGGAGATGGGAAAAAGTAAGAGGCGGGAAAAAGGGAGGATAATTTGGAAGTGGCGACAGATTTATGGAGGTGACAAATTTGTATGGTAGTTTTAATAAATAATGACAGATTTGTCAGATATATTTGATAAATCTATGTTTAAGACACAGTAGATTGAAGTAGAGTGATAGATTTATGTAGTTTTGGTTGAGTTATTTGGTAGAGTTGTATATAGTGGTGACAAAGTAATATGTAAAATGGCTTTGTTAGGCAGACTAATATGTAGTAATGAAAGAGTAATTTAGGAAATAGATTTGTTAGGTAGAGTTAACAAAGGTTATGATAGAGTTGTTAAGAAAAGACAGAGAAATGTAGTAGAGTTTGAAAATTGAAACAAAGTCTGTGAGTAGTTAAAGTAGAGTAATTTTTTACGATAGATTTATTATATAATTGACAGACTTATCCAAGAAATTAATTACTAGCGTGTCACAGTGTGTCAGATAAGTGGTGGTAGACTTTATGTGTGTGACGATAGAGTTGTGGTATTACGACTGATTGGTGACAGAGTTAGCGAGACAATGTGGGGGTAGACTTAAAACCGGTAAAACCGCAATCCTTTAAAAATGTTTTGTTATATAGACGTGATAGATTTATTTTGATAGAGTTATTTATGATGTTAAATATGTCACATCGTTAAAATTGGCAATTCCAAAAAAACCCTTCCATTGTAACTGTAATTACAATTTCAATGGACACGCGTCTTCTTCGTTGTTTGTAGGTTAAAAACTTTTTCGGTGGTTCCGAATCTGAGCACATCGACGAAAGGCGATGGAAGACATTCAACTAGTTTGCGGTAGCTGACAATTTCAGAAATCAAGATGGGATTTTGGTATTGATGAAGAAAGAGGAAGTAGGATTTTACCTGCTAGTGTTGGTAGTAGTTTTGAAGCATTTAATGACATGGTGTATGAAGATTTTGGTTTTGATTCAAAGACTGAGTCAATCAAGCTCAGTTATATGTTACATATGAAGTCCTAAAGTTTTGCAGATACGCCACCTGTGTTTGTAACGAATGGCCGTCAATTCGAGGCATATCTCTGGCAGTGTTCAAAAGAATCGGTGAGGCTATATGTCGAAATAATTGGTGGTGGTAACTGTCGAGAAAAGAAAGACAGGAAAAGAAAGGGCAAATGTGAGGAGAGTAGGGAAGTGAAGGAGGAAACAGTTATTGGAGACGAGGAGTACTACAACCGGAAGAGGGAGGGGAAAAAACCTGTAGGAGATATGTTCAATCGAAAGTTTGGCTCAACAGAACATTCCGTGGATGAAGCAGAGGAGGTTGAATCAATCATTTCTGAAGCAATTCGCGAAGAAGATTTGGAGGATGATGATGAATTTCCCAGATTTGATTATTGTGATGATGAAGACGGAGCGAGCTCAGGAGATGAATACTATGGATTGAATTCACAAGACGAGGAAGAGGAGGAAGATGTAGCTGATAGAGATGAAGTGAAGAGTGAGGCAAAAATAGAGGAATCTCAGAGGAATTGCAAAAGAAATAAAAAAATTCTCTTTATCATCAGGTAATTATTGGAATGCGAAGTCTTATCTGAAATTGGAAATGTGTGGTGTGGATCTAGCTGTTGGCCAATGGTATGAGTCCAAGGATGCACTAGAGGAAAGATTGAAGATTCTTAGTGTAATCCAAAAGTTCGACTTCGATGTTGATAGATCGAGGCCAGACTTGTATACTGTTAATTGTTGGGTACCCGGCTGCAGGTGCAGAGTACGAGCTTCACCCATAGGAGATTCATATGTTTTTAATATTCGCATATACAATCGTACCCATACATGTTCAGTCACAGAACGGTCGGCACGTGCTAGGCAAGCGACTCCTGCAATACTAGGACAGCTTTACAAGGAATTTGTTGGTGGTGTTGGTGAATCCGTATTGCCATGTCATGTGGCGGAAGCACTTAACCTAAGATATGGAATAAAGGTATGTTAGATAATGAAAAAACATAGATCAATATCATTCACTTTTGGAGGATTGATGTTAAAAAAATATTAACTCTTTATAGGTTGACTATTGGAAGGCACATCGTACACTCTTATTTGCCCGGACTTTGGTGAGAGGAACTTCAGAAAATGGATATGAAGATCTTCCTTCATACTTATACTTGATAAGGAAAGCAAATCCAGGAACTCTAACTAGACTTGCAATTGACGAAGAAGATAGATTTAAGTTTGTCTTCATTGCATTTGGCGCAAGCATTCATGGATTTCAGTTTATGAGAAAAGTTGTAGTTGTGGATGGAACATTTCTGAAAGGGCCATATCTAGGTACGCTTCTACTTGCCACAACACAAGATGGGAATTTCAATATTTTCCCCTTAGCATATGCGGTAGTTGACACGGAAAACGATGTGTCGTGGGAATGGTTCTTTAGACAACTTAGTTGTGTTATTCCTGATGACGAAAGCCTGTCTATTATATCAGATAGACATAAATCAATAGGTAAAGCAATAGGACGTGTATACCCGCGGGCTAGTCGGGGTGTCTGTACTTACCATCTTCACAAGAATATATTGTTAAAATTTAGAGGTAGTGAGACATATGGACTAGTGAAAAAGGCTGCAAGTGCTTACCGTCTCGTAGATTTTAACGTGTACTTCAATCAGATTAAAGATACGAATCCCGATTTGCATAGCTATTTAGTTAGGGCTGACGTGCGTTTCTGGAGTCGGGTACACTTTCCGGGCGATAGGCACAACTTCACAACTAGCAACATTGCAGAGTCTCTAAATAAAGTCATGACTGGTGCCAGAAAGTACCCAATCGTGATGCTACTTGATGAAGTGAGGTTGATGCTGACACGTTGGTATGCTAAAAGGAGGAAAGAAGCGATGTTGATGATAACAACCCTAACAAAAGGTTTAGAAAAACATTTACATGTAAGTAACTTGTGATTTGGATCTATATACTGGTAATACGTTGCACTCACTACTAACAATATACTTTTCTCTTTATAGGACCGTATTATTAAGGCAAAGTATCTGGCTGTACAAGAGATCGATAGGCATCAATATGAAGTGAACAATGGAGTGTCGACAAACGTGGTGAATTTGACTGCAAAAAGGTGTTCATGTATGATGTTCGATTTAGAGAAAATAGCATGCGTTCATGCTATTGCTGCAGCAGAGCATGCTAAAGTTTCTAGGATTACACTCAACGACAAAAACTACTTGACAGATTTTCTTCGGAGCGGTTATGCAATGTCCATAATGCCAAAGGATGGTTCATCACCTATCCCACAGAGAATCGGTTCGACAGTTTGTAAGCCTCCATTCGTTAGGATCCCACCTGGCAGGCCGAAGATTACAAGAATAAAAGGGCAAATGGAGATAGCTATTGATCGAAGCCGACCAAGGAAAGTTCACGTTTGCTCGAAATGTCATTTAGCTGGTCATAATCGAACGACATGTAATTCATAACATGTTTTCTGTTTCAGTACTTCTTCACATGTTTTTGTAAGAAATTACATTTGTCCTACTCTGTTATGTCCTATTCTGTTATGTCTAACACTACTAAAGACTTCAAATCTTCTTAGTGGTATATTCTTATATGTCATCTGACTAAAATATAAACATAGACCGTAGGAAGGAATAAAGTTTTCATAGGAAGAAACTACACAACAAATATATAAACATAGACAATCAGATAGAATCGAACAAGAACAACGTTCATCACATAACAGAGTTTGTAGACAACAAAAGCGAAGATCAAGAACATTGGAAGTAAGGTTACCTAATTTAACACATTTCATGGAAAGTGGTGGCGTAATTAAACGTAAAACAATGGTGACAAATGGAAGTAGCCGAGTTGGTGTGTGCGAAGTAGCAAATTGGATACTCTTTGAAATGAATATAACGTCAAAGACATTGCGACCCCCTGGTCCGATATGACGTATTTGGTCTTCTACTACGCCGGCTACGGCGATTGCCTCTTCCAAAGTTTGAATCCTGCTAAAAAAAGTGCGTGTAACGACCATACCTTGGTCATAGGAACCACAACAGAGGAGCATAACTGCAAATGCAAATGTAGCATAGATGGAAGAGTATCCAACTTCTCCAAGCATCTCTAATGCTTCCACCGACGGTCCTTCTTGCGTCAAACGCCAAAGTCCTTCTAAATATCTTGCAACCTCATGCCCTGCTGCTGCGCATCTCAAAAGAAACGGTCGGTAGATGGACTCTTCCCTACCGAGCCTTGAGTTGAACAAGAACTCATCCAGATCGACGTCTAGCAAAACATCACGGGAGAAGACGATTTCTTGAAAGAATGGCCCGGCTGCGATCAGAGGACCAAGATTCCGGAATCCATCACTCCCAACTCGACGGACTATATCTGTCATTACTGCTGCTGGAATGTAGGACATTGTTGAATATGTTCTTGCAGCTGGAAAGTGGAGGAGACGATGATAAAAACAGAGATAGAGTATAAAAGTAAAACCCTAGATATGCGACTTTATCCTTCAGTCCCAACATGTTTTGTTTAACAAGGCCCATCCCGAAAATAGTCAATACAATGGGCCTTGGGTTTGCATTACTATTACAAAGGCCCACCAACACCAACCAATATTTAGATATCTTGATGTACTTACGTGTGATGCTGAGGTTGAAGGTGGTACTCGTCATGTTTAACATATTGTTGTCTTAAGGATTCTGAAGCTTAATCTACTCATCAGCTAATGTTTTTTGGACAAATGTGTATGTATAATGTGTTGTTCAACAGTCAACGCATTTCTTTATGACAATTTCCTCTGTTCTTATATATTTATCCTTTCTTATTTATTCCACAAAAAATCTGTCATTACGCAGTTATGGCTCACCTACTGATGTCTCGTCTGTCTTAAAACTCTGTCATCATAACTACTTAAGCTGTAGTTAATAGTTTACAACCTACTGAACTTATGACAAATTCCCAAGGAGGTCTTATCTCACCAACTTAAGTAAATACTTATAGATTAGGTTATGGAGGGAACTCTCTTTGTTGTTTCACCACTTTATAACTACATTGGGTTGTTACACGAACTTCGAAGTTCTCATAACTTCACCTATCAAATAACTTAACCAAAAGGAAAATATGTTGTACCTTCCCACTCCTATTGTTTGCAACATTTTCCGCCGGCTGGGTGAAGACGGTTTCCGCTACCTTGGTCCGGTTATCGCTGCAGGACCAGGCTACACTGAGCTAGTTTACACGGCTGAGGTTTTGGAGAATGTTGATATTGATGAATTTATTTTTAATGGAAGGCTTGCTAATGTTCATGCGAGTTACATGACTTTTTTTATTAAAGTGCCTCGAAGTAGGTCATCCTGTTGCAAAATATGTTGAAGCGTTGAGGATTTTGACTCAAGTAGGTCCTTCACAAGCTGCCCTAGATATGCTAAGTCAATGTGTTGGCGAGTCGATATATGCACATTTTGCATATGGGATACTACTCATATGCTGTGGAGCTTTAAAAGAAGGTATGCTTGTAAATAAATATTTTTTGCGGAAGTTTCCAACACTTGAGGCAGCTGTCATAATCGGTAACGAAGTGGTAGAACAAGCAAGATCCATGGGAATTCTAGGTTATCGGGTTTTCTACAGAACATTCCATTTCAATATTTGTCCTCTGTGTTGCCTTCAACACGATGACAATATAGTCGTATGCAAACATTGTTTTGCCTACTATTATGTTAATATATTTCGTTTAATGTGTTAATGTTTGCGTAATATTTTGTTGGTTATGTGTAAGACTATATTTTATGCTGTCTTCGTATTATATTTGTTGGGTTTATCTGTGTTAGTAAAAGACACTCTTTCACAGAGATTAATGCCCTTTTTTGTGAATCGTAGTGTTTGTAATAAAGCGGAAAAAATAGTAAATCCCACGTGCCCACTTTTAAGTCAACGATTTAATGGACCCTTTTTATAGTCAACGTTGAAAGACTAGTAGAGACGAATAATGTGGCTATTTAACCGAGAGAGAGAAAACCAACAAATATCCCCAACTCGTTGAATAAGAACCCTAGCCGCTTTCCGACAAACCCAGAAGCGAAGGACGATTGCTCGAGTGCATTTGAACCGATGAAAAACACGAAAAACATCAAATCGAACCCCGAAACCTCTGGATCTGTAAGTAATTAATTTATTTTCGAACCTATCAGAACTTTTTTTGAATAACAAGGATTTATTTAGATTTTTCATAACTTCTGATGATTCCTTGTTTCATAGGATGAGTTAAGTTGTAACTCAATTAACAATTGCTCAAATGAAAGAGGATTTCCGAAATATTGTGTGTGTGGCAGTAATGTATCTCTTTTCACATCTCAATCAAAACTGAATCCCGGTCGGCCTTATTTCCGATGTGCTGCTACGAGAGCTGTAAGCTCCTAAATCATTACTTTTATTTCGTTCTTACTCTACTACCGTTGATTTGCAACAACTTTGTGATATTATTCGTATTACTATTTTTGTTTATCAAAGGATGGTCATTTGTTTAAGTGGGTGGAAGAAGGAATGTATGAAGAGGTTCAAGACTTATTGCAAAGAGAATCGGAGATTGTGTATATGAGGATCGTAGGTGATGAGGTAAAAGAGATGGTCGGTAATCTGAAAGAAGAGATGGGTTGGTGCAAAAAGGAATTACACAAAGCGAAGATCAAGAACATGATCAGTCTTGTTTGTGTTTTTGCTCTGGTTGTGTTTGTTATTTACTACATTGTGATTCAGAAGGGAAGTAACCAAATTGTTTTTGGTTTCTAATTTTCCATTCTAATCATTTCGTAGAATTTGTAATCAAACCATATAACCACTTTCTATCATGTTGAACTTATGATTACGGTGAATAAATGATAATGTTAGACTTATCTTTCTCAATTAGTTGTTCTACATATGATTTCATTGTAGTAGATATAAGGAAACAAAGAACCGATTATAATAGGGCAATAAAAAAACGGAACATATTGTTTTAGTCAAAACCAAAAGCTTGTTAACCATAACATAGCGAAACAAGTTTGAGTCTTAGAAGTAGAGAGAGAAGGGAGAAAAATGACAAAACATAAGGTGGATTTCATAGCCCAGCATCCCAAAGAGCGTTCCATCCCTTAGTTAGACGCAACCTCCTCCATGTAAACAACATCAGATTACGGGTCTGCGAAGCTTCGACTGTATTCAAGAAACAAAACATAACATGGATTACTCTCTTCTCTCTATATATAAATGTAACTTATCTAACGTGGCAATCTATAATAGGAAATGCTACTTACATGTATCCTTCCAAGTCAAAGTCTTCAAATGTCGGGTTGATGTAAACCCTAGCACAATCATCAACGCTCATGACGACATTTTTACCTAAAACAAAAGAGAACACCAATGTTAAATGCGACATAATTTTATAGGGATAATAAAGTAAGATAGGGATTCACCTTCAAACGCCTGAACCCGCCAGAATCGCATCATAGCCACTATTGGCTGATAATTGTAACTGGGGGAACTCAGGATCGTTGAGACCTTCTTGACAACCGTCTCACAACATTCTCCCAAAGCAATACAAGTTGTGCGATTTCCCCTATTTATCAAGACACATATAAGAACATAGATAATTCCCCATTGTAGCCAGACACATATAAGAACATAGATAATTCCCCATTGTAGCTAGACACATATAAGAACATAAATAATTCGCAAACTTTCACTCACATAATGAACAAAATAAGATAAAATGTTCAAAAAACCTAATTGACAGGCTTACATATTGTCCTTGATTGTGAGTTTTACATATCTAGCACTGTAATCTGTTTCGTTTTCACGGCAGACAAACGGGATTCTTCGTATGGGAGACAGACTCACAACCACCCCAACAGCATCTGAAACATGCAAAAACGTAATCGTTAAAGTAGCCGGAATATAGATTTTGAAAAAATATACACAATCAGGTGTATTTATTACCAGTAACATGATGAAATTGGACATCCAACGCATTTTCAACTTCGCTAGGGAAAACGAAGTGATAGAAGTTGTTGCTTGTTTTGTCAGAGACGGAAACCATCGTCGTCTCCCACATACACCGTATTTCATAGGTATTGAGAGCGAAACAGGTGGATTTAGAAGGGAAAACATGAAAGTTTTCAAGGTAAAACCATTTACCCTCTGAAAGATTCCGGACAAAAGCTTTTCTGTAGGTCCTGTTTGGAACAATTACTTCGATGTAATTTCCCTACATCACAGCAGTTTCAAGAATTTAGGTTACCCAAAATTTAACTAAATCAATCTTATATAAACACAGATAACTCTAACCTTCACGTCAACCACAATCATTCGTTTTTCCAAGACAATTCCTCTTGAGGGATTGTTCCACAGAGCCAGAATCTTGACATGAATCCCCTAGTTTGTCCTCGCCATACTCAAGTCGGAGATTAAATCCATGCTGTTTGAAGAGTTGTGTTTGTTTGACTTTGTTGATATTGATATTTTGTTTGGAGATACAATAATTTAGTCTTCGGTTCCCTATAAATATAGGCAAACGAAGTGGCTTCAAACAGAGAACCTAATCATGACTTTTTATCTGGCGGTTTCTAGATAATTGATTGACATTGGTGACGTTTTTGGGTTCTCTAGGCACTCTAGGACAATTATGGCTACTATTATCGATTTTTTCCTTTCCCATCTTTTGTCCTCACCATATATGAATATTTCATATATTACGTACGTTAAAGAAAGGGTCAAATGAAAGTGTAATTTCATTGAAATCACAAAGCCCGTGTTTGAATACACATTGTCCCGAAAAATGGGTTAACCAAATTAGAGTGAAAAACCAAATTCGAGTGAACCACCAAATTAGCTTGTTACATCACAAAAAATGGTTACTTGTACCAGGAAGAAATAACAAAGTTGCAACTTCATAGGTCAAACTATAGAACATGCAACTTGGTTATACCCAACCAAAAGTGATCTGAATAATTGTAGCGAAAAGAACACCAAAAAATAAAGACCAACCATTATCTTCCACTTTTACTACTTCGTCTCAGAGATGAACTGCACACCACCAGATTCAGCGTGTCGCGGGTTTGGGTCAGACATTTGGATGAAGCAATCAATTCCAGGCACTTCAGTCAGTACGTCACTAGCAAGCTTCATGCGGAGCCATGGCATTGCAGCATCACTTAATCCCTCAAAAGTGAGTCCTAGAGCTAAACACTCTATGTATTTAAAAGAGTAAATGCCACAATCCCCTTCTTGTATGTTTTGAGGCACATATTTCACCCTGTAGAAAGAGAATGCGGCTGCGCCTAATGTTTTTTTTTTACCTGGTGGAGCCATAGTCTGCAACAAAGCAGGAATCATTCGTGTGTATGGCTTACATGACTCATACACTTCTTCGTCGGTGTAAGCATTCAAGATGCTGTCATATGCTTATCCGGCGCCTTTGTAAGTCCACTTCAAGAGCAATCCAGTGGTTGTTGTTGATGTTATGAGCTAAGTACACAAAATCTACATCTTCTACCCATTTCTTGTTAGTAATTCCAAATGAGGGAGATAGGCTAGAATAGACCTTGAAATACTCTTCCGAAAAAAGCCACTTCTTATCACTATCCCACTTCTTGTAATCATGAGCCCATTGATTGACAAATCATGAATCTAAGAAGGCAAGCCTATCAGTGATGAACGGAGTAACTGGTTGCATAGACCGCTTCTGGAGCAATTGCATTGCAGGGCATAAATGCTACAGTTTTGATATATGGTATGTGTTAATTACTCTGTCCTCGTATTCAAATAAAATCCTCAATTATAGTAGGCCCAATTGAACATACCGCATCTTTCAGCCATCCGTAGCACTCATCTCCTATAGGCCATTCCTCTTTAGGTGTCATTATCCTCAAATAGAAGTTAGCTGCACCGTTGCTTGTCTCTAATGGGTTATCCCTATAGTAAATGTAAACAGTAAAGCCTATCAATGACAGAGATTTAACAAACCAAATGTTTTAAAACAAAAGCTGTACTTACAGATCATGTCGAATGAAGGCCACTAGCATATCCACCGACAATTGTGTCGCCTTTTCAAACGGATCGTAAACTGTAGGGGACAGCGTCTTACCCCGCAATATACGCTTAACCAATGAACTTCTGATGAATGGGTGAACTTGTGTTGAAGCAAGGTTTTTCTGCCTAGGAACCCGGGATACAAAGTCGTCCTTCTTACATAGTCGAAGCAAGTCATCGAGTGCTCCATTTAAAGCCTTGTTCTGTTTATTCTCACTTGAATCAGAACCTTCAGACAGTTCTGCAATATCCACCCCAAGAGTAGTCTTGGTCTTACAGACAGGACTGACGGAGTCAAGAGGGTCAATAGGTTCTGTTTTTATGCCTTTCTTCTTGACAGAGCTGTGAGGCCCAGTTGATTTCGGTGTCACGGATTTCTGCAAACCAGATTTAGAGTTTGTAGCCGCAGCAGAAAACGGCTCCTTAACACTAGCGTTAACATACTTTGACTGAAAAAGATCCTCTCTTCTAAGGCTTGTATTAAATCCTGCTTTAGCCTTAGACACATGGCTTGGTTTCCGTACGACGCAAGAAATTGGAAACCCTTCTTGAGATGTTTCCTTCATCTGTACAGACCATGACTACAAAAAAATTTATCTTGTAAGACATCGGTAAAATAATATACATGCTTGTAATAAGGATCAGAAACACAGTGTTGTATACATAACATCAAATGTGTTTCTAGATTGTTGTTAACCTAAAAAGTCCACAACATTAAACAAGTAAATTTAAGGTTCCCAACATAAATTTTTTTTTAAATTCAGTCTTCCAACTGCATTATATGGTATAGTAGATTTTAAAAAAACAAAACACTAACAACAATGAAATACATCTTCAAATACTTCCCACAATATTCAAATTGTGTTCCCCCACCAACTAAGAAGTTGTCTGCACCGTAAAAAATCATTTTTCAATATGAAAACTATGAAATATAGATGAACTATATTCATCATTGCCAAACACTAATTAACAATTTCATACCTTGTTCACTGAACCTTCTTCATCACCTTTTTTCTCATTACGGCTTGTCTTCAGCATCTGAACTTCCTTCTCAAGATCTATAACCTTTTTCTCTATCCCTCCCACTGTCTCTGTAAGACCATCAAATCTACCATCGATTTTGGACTGCATTGTATCCATTTTACCAACCAATGCAGTCATCATATTCAAAACTTCACCAACTGACCCTCCACCAGATACTGAATCACCTCCTTTTGATCTCTTTTCACTTTGTTGCTTCTGCTTCTTTGGCGGTGGGTCAACAAAGTCATCTTGTGTCTCCTCAACTACCGCTTTCCTCTTTCCTTTTTTCTTCCCAGGAACCTCTTCCCAAAACTTTCCATCTACACGTCCTAACATGATATCATGCATCAAGTTATCCAACAATTCCCAAGCACCTTCCCCTTCACCGTAGACAGCTTTCTCGTCAGGCCAATTTGGATAAAGGTCCTCCTCAGATTGCACAACCATATGTTGCACATCCAACTACAAATCAAGTCACAAAAACATGTATTACAACTCAAGATTATTTACATAAACATTTAATAGAAGTCAAAAACCATAGGCATTAAGGTTTTTACCTTCTTATGTAACTTCTTTTCCGTCGCTAAGAAGTCACCAATACAACATCTTGGACGACCCCCTTTCCAGCTTAGAAGAGGCACATTATCTCCCTCAATTGGATTACCATACTTCTGCCCCAAAGCAGATACACTTTCAAATGCCCAAATCAATAAAGCATGAACACAACCATGCACTACATAGGATCCATTCTCATAAGAAACCACCTTGATTGACTTTATTAAGCTCTTAAAACCAACTCGTCCCCACGAATACCTCTCAAAAGCCTCTGAATCAAATACCCTTTTAGCATACTCCAATGGAATCCTACTAGACCTTGATTTCCCCAATATACCAACATTCAACACAAACAACATCCCAAGCATTTTTCGCTTCTCATAGCTCCAACCCCTACATTTTTTTAGCGCCGCATTCAGCTCTTTCCAGTTTGGTCCCTTACTTGCATCTACTTCTAACTCTGCCCAAAATTCGCTGTGATCAACATCCACTTTATCTTTTTCATCTATTGCATCACAGTTTAGGCCGGTAATAACAGAGAATTCATGGAGTGAAAACTTGAGAGGATATCCTTCTATCAAACTCCAAATCTCATACCCACTTTCTATCGCCAACTGATTACTCAGAAAGTGATGCACTGTCTTAGAGCACCAAACGTACTCACTATCAGCCAACTTCAGTAACACACCTAATTGACTATTGTCACGAATCTCTGCATATGCTCTATCTCCAATGAAATCCTTCATTATTGCAATACTACTCACAGTGCAGTTGTGGTGCATGCTTCTTGTCTGTATAGGAGATTTCCCTTCTTTATACAGTCGTGGAGGATAATTACTCTTTGGAATACTTGAACTAGACTCCATCTGCAAATAACACATGACAAGAAAATACATACCACATTTAGTACTTCATTACTCTGTTTACACCACATATATCTATTTTTAATAACTCTTTCTGCACATTTATCATAATATTTCTCTGTCACTATTAGCTTTCAAACTTACATAACTCTATCATTAGAAGTAGCTGTCACTATACTCTTTAAAGTGTATAATTTTACAAACACCCGCCATATAAAACCCATATCACTTCATATACCTAACAAAATCAGTACACCATCCATTCATTTGAAATATTTTTCCTAAACCTACTAATCAGCGCAATTCTTCTCTTCAAATACCTTCCCTGAACCTTCTATCACCTTCGATTTTGCAAAACCAATCTCAGAAACAAACAACTTTTCTAGATATATCAATCTATGAACAAACCGAAGATATAAAACCTTAAGGGTCGCCGGAAATACGAGATTTAAACTGACAGTACCTCTTTCGCCGTTTCTCCGTCACAGTCAATTACTTTACGCGACTTCGATTTCACTACAATGAAACGGGAATTTCACTTCTTTAGCCAAATACAACTAACCCATAGAAATTTAAATGCTAACAAACCCTAACATTCCATACCTTCGCCGTTTTTGTTTTCGTCGGAGAGTTTTCGCCGCCCTTCTCAAAATCCACCTTCGCCGCAATAAATACGATTACAAATAACAAATCTCTGTCGGACATTTATTAAGAGATATAATTTGTTTCATTTTCATAAATTTTTAATTCAAAATGGCAGTTTTTGTAATTAGCTAACCTAATGGTGGGTCTAAAGTCTTTTTAAAACTTTTTAAAGCCTTTCTAGTAAAGAGTTGGTTCACTAAGCCATTAGAATAATTAGTGGACTTTTTAATGCCATTAGACGTAATTTCCCAAAAAAAAAAAGGCAAAGAAAGAAAGAAGAAGAGACAAAAAAAAAATTTCATGTTATTTCTCTATTAATTCATATAAATCATTAAAAGTTATATTATTGTTTTGGGTTTTGTTTGAACATGGATTCAATTTCAAAAAATATTGGCTTTTTCATGTATGTAAATTAATTTTTTTATTGGATCAATGGGGTCAAGAGATGATTTTAATTGGGTTCATTAGATCTAATGTTAAGATATATGATAGAATTTTAGAAAGTAGTTGGGGTCAGGTGAATTTTGTAATAGATAAGGAAAAAACCCGATCCAAAATCCGCCAAACTCACATATATTGGAGTACAACCCGGTCCAAATCGACTTTTTCTGGCTTATATTTAAAAACTACAAGATTATTTCAAACCTGTTCGGGGTTTTTCTTAAACCAAAATAAATTTTGTACATAATCTGTTTTAATTGTGCTAGTCTTATGATCCTTTGATTATAAATATTGTTTTCTTTGTTTTATTATTCTTAATAGTAAAAAACAACTTTTTAAACTTTGAATTTCTTCATTACTTGTTCGCATTTACCGTGAATATTACAGGAAAACATTATTTTTATGGTATTGCAACTCCCCCTCTGTATTGGTCCTAGAAAGATACCGGAACCTAAGTGAACTGAACCGAATTGGATTGTGCGATTTGGTTCCACTTAATACAAAATAGGGATAGATGTACAGTTTTGGTTTGGTATCGTTTCGGTTTTACGGTTTTTTGGTCTTATAGGAACTATGTGTAATTTGGTTTAGTTACGGTAAGATTTTTACGGTTTTACGGTTTATCGGTTTTATAAAAAATGAAACCATATAAGCATCATATGTATTTTGGTTTGGTTACGGTTTGGTTCCGACTTTTTTAAAGTTATTTTTTGATTTTACAAAACAAAAAAAGTTAATTTGCTACATAAATAAAAGTAAACGTACAATTTCGGATGACAAAAAAAAATAAAATAAAAGTAAACGTAGAATAGAAAAAATTTATCAATCAATAAGTTAAACATAATTCAAATAATAGATTCCAAATCTAGTTTGGTAAACCCAAATAATTTAAAGAACAAAATCTAAAAACTATAACTGGAATAATTATAAGCCCAATAAAGAAAATCATAAGAAAATTATTAAACATAATATAAACTGAACAAGTATAGTTATATATAATTATCTCAAATTTTCATTAAACACAAAAAAAAACATTCGGTTTTACGGTTTTGACCAAACCAAACCTAAACCAAAAATTTAATAAAAAAGACACGCAAATGGGTTTTTAGACTAAACGATATCAAAACCAGATCATTTATTTCGGTCGGTTTGGTTTTTTGGGTTATGGTTTTTTTTGCCCACTATCAAATAGATCTTGTGATTCGGAACCCTGGATATCGGTTCTGTTTTTTTGAGATTTCGGGTTTAGGATCATATGATCCGTTCAAGTATTTTAAACACCCGGATCGGTTTTGGTTTGGTTCCTCCCGAGTTTGGTTCGGAATTTGAGAAAAAAAAACCCAAAATTATCAGAATTACCCAAATTACCAAAAAAAAACTACCTAAAAGTATCCAAAAGTACCCAAATTATCTGAATTACGAAAACCCCAATAAAAATACACAAAACACAAAAGTATCCAAAACATTCGGTAAAAATCTACCCAAGGTAGGTGAAAAGGAGTTAATGGGCAAGTTAGGTTCGGATCGGCTTTATTCGTGAACCCAAAGTACCGGTCTCTAAGACCCGTTCAGATATTTTTAAGGTTTGTATCGGGTATTTTTAATCGGGTTCGAATTGGATCTTTAGTTTTGGGTATTTTTCCCAAACCCAAATTATTTTGATTATTTTTTGGTAAGTTTTAGTTAGTTAGGTTAGTTTTTTGGGTTAGTTCAGATATTTCATGTATTTTTGGGTTTTTTTTTTCAAGTATTTTGGTTAAAAATTACACAAAAACCACCTGAAAAATTATACAAAACCCAGCTGAACCAACCCAAATTTTGTTCGGTTTCTATATGGATCTTAAACCTCATACCCGAATGATCCGAGACCCAAATGATTTCAGCCCAAACCAAGCAGAATACCCAAACCCCAGACTTACTTTGTATACTACAAAGCATGCCTAAGCCCGCGGGCTGAGTCAAGTCCATTAGCGGGTATGGACATGTTTTATTACGCCCGTTTAAAAGCAGGTTTTGTTCATGAGCTACAAATATTTAATAAAAACAAATATATATTTTTATGTACTTCTGAAAATATAATATGTGATAATATAAAGAAAATGAAAATAGAAAAATTATTATATTTACAAAAAAGAGTAGGTTATTTTAAATTTAAATTTTTTTGATTAAAAGTTAAAAGTTATTTTTTTTTTAAATATAAAAATTAAGCTCGCGACGGTCTTTTCATCCGCTGATTTAGCGGAGCAGGTCTGGGCATAAATTTTTTGTCTACGGTCCTCTAGCAGGCTAACTTGTCGCGGGCTAACAAAAAGTTATGCCCATCGTAGGCCAGTCTAGATGGACGCGGGCCTGCCCGTTTATGTTTATATGTTTTAGTTACATTTAGTGATTTCTTTGTTTTTGTACTAACATGTTGTTATTAATTCCATACTTCATATTTGGATTTATGTATTTGTTGAAACTTGAAGAATATCGTACTAGTAAACCAGTTCTTATAAGGTGATTTTATAGCACCGAATATATCCCTTAGACCATCATTATTGTGGTCTCTTAGCTTGTTCTTAAGTTTTAATTTGATTTAAATTAAATGGGAAATAATGAATAATGTTAAGAGACAAAACTAATGTTAAGAGACAAAACTAATGTTAAGAGACGTCCACGTGGCAGTTTCTGACTGGTTGTTCGTAGGTCTTGGCATTCGGTTAACCGTTCGGTTTCGGTTCGGTTGTGTTCAGGTTCGGTTAGTTTGGATATGGTAATATAATAATCATTCGGATATTTTAGCAATTTCGGTGCAGATCGATGTCATGTATGTTATAAATTGTATGTTATTTATGTTTCAAATTTTTCCATTTGCAACAATTAGTAAGTTTTCTAATACTAAAATTGTTTATTTTATTTCTTTTTAAAATTAAATTTTTTTTCTCTAAGAACTACAATTTTAGAACCTACCATTGGAGACAAATAAAATTTAAAACCAAAATACAATCTCTTAACTCTAAACTTTTCAAGATTAATAATAAACTAATGCTAAGAGCTAAAATTAGCATACCCAAGGTTGCTCTTATGAACCTCGTAACATCATTATTTTGCAGTTAATTGTCCTAAAAAGTGGTTGCTAGTATAAATTAACATTAGAAAGAAAGAAGCTCATTTCAATGAACAACAAATTGGTCATATTTCAAATAATTATTTGAAGATAGATTACATCTTTAACCAAACTTCTTCATGCATCCAATATATATTATTGAGGTTTTAGTGTCGGTCGGAGCTCGATGAGCTTAGCTCAGGAAACCTTCTCGTCCGTACGGATTTAACGTGAAAATTGATAAAATATTCTACTCATTCTTTGAATATTATTTTTTCTTTTCGATATCTTAGTTTTAAAATATCAATTAATTCTATCCAAATCAAACTACTAATAATGATTGTCGGTCGTTGGCATGTTTCGACGGTACTTCAGTGTCATGTGCCGATGAATTTTTTTCACTTCGATCGAGAAAACTTTCAAAAGCAAACCAAAAGAGAGTGTGGGGGATCTGGTAATCTTAACTTTCGTGTGGACTTTTCAGACAAAGAGAAATTATAACGAACAACCAACTCATTTATGGCTCACCAATACATACATTCGTTTTCATCATTATTTTTGTCATCATTTCATGGTTGGAAAATGAGTGACACCGATGTATTAAATGTTGTTGATATTGGTTCAAATAGTTTTGATAGAATTCTCATCCTAACTATGGAGGCTATGATGATGTTTTTTTTAAATGATTGGTGTAACGCTTCTACTGTCATCATTTTTCTGGTGTATATTGTTTACCTCTAAAAGTTAAGATTAAGTTTGAGGGATTTTATGTTTAAAACTAATTGGTGATGAGTGGATTGACCAATACTACTTATATATTACGATTTAATCACATTTTCAATGTCGGATTTCCATTCAACATACTCACTTGCAATAAATCCTACTTGAGTCATCTTACATGGGTTAACAATTTTAACGTTGATATAATGTTAAGTTTATGAGATTCCAATTCAAAACCAGTTGACAATAAGTAAAATAGTTCATGCACTTTATACATTGTTCTAGAAATCTATTAACTTCCCATGTGGCCAATGAAAACATTGAAATACACCCCTCATGTTTAAGAATAGACATCTAAACATAAAGTTTGTGAAAATGAACATACAAAGGTGACTCCACTATCGAAAAATTGGATCTCATATTGATACTGTATTTTTAGAATTTATTGACTTGCAATTCAAAACCAATTGGTGGTAATAAGTTAATTGTTCTATGTTACTTGTACATTAATACAGGCCCATCATAATTCAAAACTAATTGGTGGTATTGTCTTAATGGACCGGGCCGAGCATGGATGGACCGAGCCGACGTTGCTGGCCCGCACCATTGTTTTGTTGGGCCAAGCCGTCTTCGTTCGGG